AGGGTCAGCAGGTTTAGGATTGGCTAGTTTGAGTGATTTCCATGGGCTCTGGGGCAGAGGGCCATCCCCGGTTATCTGGTCTGTGACCTTGGGTGAGTAAGGCAGGGAGCTAGAGGGAGACCCAGGGGGCTTTGGGGTGAGGCCACTCTGGATTGGCTGGTTTGCATATGAGTGGCTGACTCACAGGTGAATTCTTTCTTATCTCTAGAAATTAGCTGGTGCCTCCAGGGTCAGCATCAACCAGATTAAAACATCAAAATACAAAAAATAAAAAAAACATAGTATGTGGCAGAAGCAGGGTAAAGAAAACTTAAACTATGTTGGATTAAGGTCTGTGGTGCAGGGTTGTTTCTTTAAAAAAATATAAGGGAAAGAAGAATTTTAATTGCACACGCAGAGGAGTTCCACAGTAGACTCAGTCTACGAGGTGGGAAAGGGACTGTGTCTCATCAGTTATAGCTGGAATAGTGGAATTGAATCTCTTTAATGAGTGGCCATTATGGAAACACTGCCTATGAAACAATTCATTTCAACAAGTGTTTATAAAGCACCTGCCTCCTGCCCGTCCTGTGCAAGGGGCCCTGAGGAGTATGCAGATGAATAAAGTTAGATCCTTGCTCTCCAGGGCAGCCCTGGCAGATGGGGGCATATGCATGCGGAACCTCCCCTAGGAGGCCATGGCAGACATCACTGATTGCTCACAGCATTCTGCCCACTGCAGCCAGGCTTGCCTTAAAATCCTCCATAGCATACCACCAACCACCAATCACAGCTGCTTGTCTCTAGGGACCCTTGGTCCTCAGGGGAGGGGTGGTGCTGGAGGAGAGAGGAGGGGAAACTCTAATAACTCATGTGTGGTGGAGACTGGCAATGCTTTGGGGTGTGGAAGGGAAAAAAATCGCACCTGGGTTGCGGGAATCGCAGCAGATTCCATGGAAGTGCTAGCATTTGAGGTGAGCCTTAAGGGGCATCATTCTTGGACTGTTGCAGAGGTGAGGGCACCGCCGTCTAAACAGCAGGGGGTCTTTTCAGTGGGAGACACAGGAGAGGAAAGGATGGAGGTGCTTTGAGGAACAGTGAGCAGGTGCTCTGAATGGGACTTGGAAAATGCGTTCCAGGGAGGCAGAGGGACCAGTAGGAGCCTTTAGTGGAGGTCCCAAATGCTGGGCTAGAACGTGTGGACCGAGTTCTGAAACAGCAAAGGTCTGACCTCTACAAGATCAGAGCAGCTTCCAGAAGAGAAGGCGACACAGTGCAGGGTGAGTTAGAGCCCGGGGAGCTTGGGGCATGTAGGAGATGTGTTCGGAAACTCTTACCACTTAAAAGACAACAAAGGCCTCCCCGCCTGAGTGTGCTGTAGAAGTGCCAGAAGGGAGGCTGGCTCTGGAGGCTGTGGATCAGGATATCCAGGATTTGGGGGCCAGCTTGCATGGAGGAATGGAATTAAAGTCAAAGATGACAGCCCGTTTTTGAGCATGAATGGTTCAGAAGGACGATGGAGCCATAACTTAATGGGGAACCTAGGAGAGGAGCTGGTTTGGAAGCAGTTTGAGGAGCCAGGGGTCAGCAGGGGAATCCCTCTGACCGGGCGTTGGCAAGGCAGATCTGCAGCTCTGGAAGGAGCCCAGAGCTAGAGACAGCAGAGCGAGGAGATGTCCGCTAAGAAGAGAGTCAAAGCAGGGGGCTCTGGACGCGGACGAGGAGAGCTTGTGCAGGGACCAGGGACTTCTGCGGGTACCACATAGGAAGGCTAGGCAGATGCTATAATGTTAGACAGTAGGGGTTAACTTGTGAATAAGCAGAGGGCAGCATTGCACAGAAACCCAGTAACAGACGAGACTCAGGTGCAAGGGAACTTTCCTATATGATAAGCAAGACCTCACGATTCAATGAAGTAATGAAGGGCCTTTTTATAAATTCCGTGAAGACAGTGAAGACCCATCTGCGTAGAGGTGGTCATTGAATAGCATTGTGAATGTACTAAATGCTACTGAATTGGTGTACTTCACAATGGTTAATTTATGTCATGTTATTCTTCCCGCAATTTAAAGAAAAACAAAGAACCATAGGGCCATTGGGAAAGAGATCCCTGTCTCACACCGTATACCTAGATAAACTCCAAGTGGATCAAGGATGGTGAGGATGATTGCACAACAATAATGTACTTAATGCCACCGAGCTGGACACTTAAAAATGATGAATGTAAATTTGACATTATGTGTTTGTTACCCTCCCCCAAAGAAATGAAACCATAAAAGAACTCACAGAAATATGGCTGACTTTCTTTATAACTCTGGAGTGGAGAAGGCCTTTATAACCAAGAACCAAAATTCAGAAGCCATAAAAAGGAGATAATTTGACTGTTTAAAAACAAAAGTCTTCCATACAAACACAACATAAACAAACTCAATGGACAAATGACCAACTAATAGACAAAGAGTTCCTAAATATTAAGAAGAAATATACAACCCTGATATTAAAAATTAACAACATGAATTCTCAGTGTACTAAAAAAGAAATAGAAGTGGTTCTTAAAATATGAGGTGTTCAACCTACACTTTCTCCCATCATATGGGCAAAAGTCCAAACACCAAACAACACGCTCTGTTGGTAAGGCTGAGAAAAATAGGTCCTTTCCTACCTCACTGATAGAGTAAAAGCATATCCCCCATGGAGGGGAAATTGTCAATATCTACCAAAATGATGTATGCAGGTACCTTTCAACTGAGCAGCCCTGCATCTGGACACATACCCTGAAGATGCACCTTCATAAAGGTGATATAAAGTGTTCCTGGGCTTGTCATTACAGCCAGCTGTCTAATAAATGAGATCAGATAGCATGCAAATGTCACCCTATAGCTCACCCACACAAAGGAGGACTATGCAGCAGTGAAACAGAATGAAGAAGAGCTCTGTAGCCTGTTTGTGATACCAAGCAATCTCTAAAATATGTTAAAAGTGAAAAAAAAACCTGGTATAGAATAGGATGGATGTGTGCATGCTACCTTTTATGTAAGAAAGAAGGAAAACAAGAATAGACATATGATAGATAGGCAGGCAGACAGATAAATAAGTAGGTGGGTAGGTACATGCATAGATGATAGAGGAATACTTTCCTTATTTTTGTGAAGAGGAGTGCTTCAAGGAACCAGAAAATAAATAAAATGATTAAACATATGGAATGAGGGGATAAGAATAGGAGCATGACTTCACTGGATGAATCTTCTTGTATATTTCTGTTGTACCAGGTAAATGTTTACATACTTGGAAAAGAAAATTACATTGCAAAAAAGCAAACCTTCTAGTTGGAAGCACATTTATTTTGAAATGAATGTATCTAATTGTCTGTCAAATCAGTAATATAAGGACACAGAAAATAATTATTACATTACTTGTAATAATTTAAACTTTAAACACAATACTCTGGCCATCTCATTATTGAACCATACTCCAAGGACTGGGGGAGAGGGAAGTGGGGATTACTGTTTAATGGGTGTGGTAGTCTTCTCGGGCCACCATGAGAAAGTGTCACAGGCTGGGGTCTTGAACAACAGAAATTCACTCTTGCATGTTCTGGAGGCTGGAAGTCCACGGTCAAGGTACCGGCAGGGCTGGAGCCTTCTGGGTCTGTCCTTGGCTTGCAGACGGCATCTCCCCTCCCCTGCCACCGTGTCCCCACGTGGTCATCCCTCTGTGCGTGTCTGCGTCCTAGTCTCTTCTTATAAGGACAACAGGCAGACTGGGTCAGGTCTCACCTAAATGGCCTCATTTCAACTTAATCACCTCTTTAAAGATCCTCTCTCCAAGCATAGCCACATTCTGTGGGGAGTTTAGGACTCAACATAGGAATTTGGGGGGCACACAGCTCAGCTCCTAACAAGAGAAGTACAGAGCTTCAGTCTGGGAAGACGAAGAAGTTTCGGAACTGGGTGGTGGTGATGGTCACGTGACAGCGTGAATGTGCTGAATGCCAGTGACCTGGACACTGAGAAGCCATTCAGGTGATCATTTTGGTGTTATGTATATTTGACCACCATAAAAAGCTAAGATAATTCTAAGAAAGGAAAACACTCCTCAGAGAGGCCAGGGCACTGGCGGTGGCTCTGAGAGGGCGCTGGAGTCACGGGCCATGCGTGACAGGGCGGTGGTGGGCGGTGAGCGCGTGGTGAGCGCCGGGCAGCAGTCGGGTCCCGGCGATGACAAGCCTTCACCCCTGCTGTCCAGGAGATGAGTGGTGGTGTCATTATTACCATCACAACTTCCCAGCAGAGGCAGCGGGAAAGGTCTGGGCAGATCTTCTTACTGTGTGGTCCCCGTTCTCTGGGAGCTTTTATTTTCTGCCATTTTCAAACCACCACTTAGCTGTTTGCAGCCGAATCAGGAAGCCGCAGCAGCCAGCGCATCGTTCCTATAGTGACTGATGTCCTTCAGCGAGGGCCGACCTGCAGAGACCCTAAGTAAAGAACAAGGGGAGTGAACAGCACAGATATATGACAGATAATAAACTCCAGGAGGAATATACTGTGACCTAGTTTTATGGCTGCTTCGTTGAGATTTCTGGCAAGCACACTTGACTATTTTATTTGATTTTATGTCTGTCATATTATCTTCACCAAAGGCTAATATTAAAACACAACCATGAGGGCCAAATGCAGAAAAGTCCAAGCCCCATCAGTCCTACTCCTGCCCACTCTGTGGAAAATCAGGCTTCACTTTCCATATGCCTGTCCCTTCTTTCTGCCTTGGAAACGGCCACACAGAAGGCTTCCTGGCTGTGTGCACAGGCTTTGTGACACTTATATCCTGGTTTGTCACTTCCTGGCTGTGTGGCCTCGGGCAAGTTCCTTAATCACTCTGTGCTTCACCTTCCTAATCTGTACAATGGGAGTGAGGGAACTGCCACTTTCAAGAGTGGTGGGTAATCCTGGTGAGGGAGCCGCTGAGCTTGGGCAGGAGGCAGCTCCTGGTAACCGGTTCTTTGGTCTCCCATTCCCTTCCAGTTGGCCATGGACAGAGCGAAGGGGAGAGGATGGTAGTATCTGACTTCCACGTTTTCATCAGGGATGTGTTGCAGCATGTGGATATCATGCAGAAAGACTACCCCGGGCTTCCTGTCTTTCTTCTGGGCCACTCCATGGTAAGTAGGCCACAGAACAGCCGGTCCAGATCCAGCCCAGACCGCAGCCCCCCAGCCGGTGGGAGGTGGAGAAGCTATGATGGCGAAGGGGCAGCCCGTCCTGCTTGCCCCGTCCGCGCTCTGCCTGGCTGCCCAGACTCCCTCTGCAAGCTTTGCACTCGGAGCTCCCAGGCAATTTAGTGCCGAGGAAACAGGCCTGGTTGGGTCCTGGAGGCGGCCCCAGTGGGAGCCCGTTCATTTCCGTCCAGGGCCGGAGGCGCCAGGAGGTCACCAACCAGGCCTTGCTGACACGGACCTCTTCTCCAAGCCCCGTCGGCTCCTCGTGAGGACAGTGCAGAGGGCTTCTCAGGGTGGGGACAGCGCTCCGCCAGTGAGAAGCACCTACAGTGTGTCAAGACCCAGCCTGCCTGCTTCACAGGGTCTCAGGGCAAAGGGACGGAGGGACACAGGCTCCCCGAAGAGAGAAGGCCTCAAAGGTCGTTCAAAATCCTATTCACCTTTTGAATGTAAAAAGTCCGCTAAAAATCAATCAATCTGATCTTGTGGAGGGCTCCTCAAATGGGCAGTCTGCAGGGCAAATCTACCCCGAGGCAGCCCGGACGCTGGGCTGAAGAGATTACTGAGCTGCTTGAATTTGAATGCCGGTGGGTCGGGGTATTTCTCACCCTGAGGCAGGGCTCCCACCCCCTTTATCACAGCCTGGCTCTTGCTACAGTTCTCTTACCCGCCTGGCCTCTGTAAGCATTTGCGATTTTCACCCTTGGTTCAAATTACCATCAGCTCCAGCAAACAGCCACAGCCTCCCGCTTTCAGAACCATCCATGTCCACTAAGCATTTTTCTCGAGATCTAAATCTCTGGGACCTTTACTGAATCTGGACAAAAAAAAAGTGTAGCCATATCTTATTATCAGATTTAAAAAAAAATCTCATACGAAGCCTGATGGAATGGATGAATTGGGGGTCTGCCAGCTTTTGGCTTGAAACGAAAGAGGAATGTGTTATTGTTTAACTTGCAGCCCACAGGCAGAAACCCTATTTATATCTCTCTGAAATGTTTGCTCTTGGAAAACCCAGAGAAAAAAAAAACATGTGTAATAAAATAATTGCAGATTCAGTTTAGCCAACATTCGGTGCTGTCTATTCCAAGGTGGACGTCCTCTGGCTTGGCCGGGACTGCAGTTTAGGATTAGTTGATGGTGCTCATCAGAAATATACGTACTGGTGGAAACCTGCATGTGGCAACTCTGGCCATTTGTGTTGCAGGGAGGTGCCATCACCATCCTCACGGCTGCAGAAAGGCCCGGCCACTTCTCCGGCATGGTTCTGATTTCGCCTCTGGTTCTTGCCAATCCTGAGTCCGCAACAACTTTCAAGGTAAATGGACTTCCTGTTCTGTGACACTGCAGCAGCCTCCCCAGGACCCGGAGCATCCATCTGTAGCTAGAGTCTGGGGAAAGGCCACCGTCCTTGGACCTCATGCAACTCTTGTGTGAAGGTTTGGACGAATATCAACGTTGTTGCCACCAAGGTTCTATAGTTTCTAAAGTCAGGCGCCTTTTCCCCCAAAGACAAAAGAAAAATGACTTCCTGTTTGTCTGTTTTCTTGGTGAAAGTTAAAAGGAATAAGGTTACACGTGTTCAGAATCCAGCACAGTAACCTTTGTTAGCGAGGCGCATGCAAGACTCCAACTGATTCTCATTTTTTGCCAACTTCAGCCAAAAATGCATAGTGAGTGGGACTGTGGACAAGTTATGATTCAAAATAGAGTTGTATTCACTGTAGCTCTCCTCCCTTCCAGAGCACACACGTTCCCCTCTGACTCTAACTTTAACCTAACTCTGATGGTCATTTTGATTTTCTGGTTATAAAATTGCACAATGACACCCCCATAAACCCTTTTTGTCTGGAGCCTTCAGCTACTTTGCCAAAGCAAATAAGCCACCAGATACTACCTAGAAATGGAACAGATGCCTTCTCTCTCTGAGAAAGGAGATGAAACTGTTGACGGGCAGCTGCCTGGGGAGGTCTCTCCCTGTGCACCAGGTGAAACCTCAGCCTGGACAGGGGAGGGTTCTTGACTCTGATCAGGAAAGAATTCTCAAGCAGATCAGACAAGTGTAGGTAAGGAAGGGAATTCAATAAAGCGAGAGCAGCAGGGAATGGCAGCAGCCCTGCAGGCAGCAGAGAGTAAGGAAGAGCAGAGGGGGGAAAGGGAAGCTCACTGACCTCCTGCTCAGCATGGGGCAGATCCCTGGCCAACTCCTGAAGCCAGGGTCACCTTGAATCTGCACAGCATGGGGACCAAGCCCCTACCACCCCAGGATTTGGGGGAGCCACAGAGCACTGGATGGAGTGAGATTAGGTTCTGAGAATCTTCCAAAACAAAGAAAGGAGATCTTCTGGCTGCTGCTAAGGAGGACGATCCTACAGCTGCAGACCTGTCTGGGTCACCCAGGCGACGGGAACATGCAAGCCCAGACTGGAGGTCTCGGTAGCCCTTCCCGACTTGTCTGAAGCAGGAGAGAGAGTGAAGACTTGTGCTTAAGTCTAAAAAATAGAATGCACCAGCAAAGTAACAAAGATGCTTATCCCCGGAAGAGCATAGAGACAACACAGTAAGTTGAGCAGTGAGATGTCTTTATTTAAGGCAAAAAGTACACATTCAAAGAAAGGGGAGTGTGGGCAACCTGAGAAAGGGGGTACACTCAGAGGCTTAGGATTCTGTCCTTTGAGGCTTTCCAGGATTGGGCAAAGGGCGGGGGTGGGGATAATAGGCTTGACAGGTGGTCTCATGATGTCCATCTCCAGTGAGAAACACTGTCACCATCCATAGTCCTCTAGATGGTCTGTAAGATAAACTTAACACAAGGGATTTCTTGACCCTGTTCTTCTCCAAGAGGGTGGTTATCCTCAAGCAGTGGGTATCACTTAGGACTGCTGGCCCTGCCTTAAGATAGGGTGGGTTATTGGCTGATTACCATAAAATACTTTAGGAATCTTAACCTCCGAACTCCAGGGTTTTTAAAACGGACTCTTAGCTTTAAGATGGTGTCCCTCCTGTTCTTACTATATACTGTTTATGTCTCGGCATTTTTCATCAAGGCAGGAAAAATTAATCACGATGCTGCCCTTCCTCAAAACCATGGCCTCAGCAGGGCTGCTTAACTGTGAATGTGCACTGACAGGTCACGGATCTGTCCTTGAGGGGCATGAGGTTTAAGAGAGAAACATAATCAAATGAGAGTGGAGAATCCCAACCCTGTGGACCCCCAAGGCACGCTTGATCCCTCTCCATCTCTGGGTGGGGGCCGCTGCCTCCTGGGTCAGTTCTCAGGACTCTCAAAGGAGATCCAGGGGTGAGGTGGGGTGTCTTGGGGCCACGGGAACTGGGCAGCCATCAAACCATGGACCTACCCAATCTTCCCTGGCCTCACTATCAAATGACAGCAGGATCACTTAAATAACTGCCTCAGCTCTGATGCCTTGTGTGCTCTCCAGAGGACCCAAATTGGGGACAGTGTGCCAGCAGTGGGCCTTATAAAAACGTCCTGAATGTGTTCCTCCTGCCCACAGCCACAGACTTATTCCTGGCCCTAGAAACGGGGGGGCAGGTCCTGTGTGTAAGGGCTTCTGGTTAGATACAGACAGTCTCATGACTTTGAAAAGGCGATGGGCTGAGCAAAAGGAAACCCTGGAATTAGTCAGTAGTTTAACCAGAGAACAGTGATTTCTTAATCCACTGAAGGAGAGGGATGCCTGGCTCCTTTGAACTTTACACCAGTGACTTACTGAAATGGGCTGCCATCAGTAAATTCCAGAGTATGTGGGACATCAGTGCAGGTGGGAGCCAGCCTGCCCAGAAATGAAGGTCATGCAGGTAATGCGGGGCTGGACTGCCTCTTGGTCACTTACATGTGCTGTGACGGTGATGATATGAGAGGCCAAACCATTCCAGGGTTCTTGTCCAAGCAGAATAAGCAGCCCGGGGCCACAGCAGGTGGGGTTCCTGTGATGTTTCACTCAGCACTCATCATCACCCCAGGGAGAGGTCACGACCTCGTTTTACCCAGTGACACAGAGGCTTGGGCAGGATGGGTGATCCACCAGGCCCATATACCCTGCGCAGTGGATTTGAATCTGGGGCTGTCTGCTCCCAGGCCAGGATGTTCCCTGACAGAGAAGAAAAGGGATGTCTTCTGCAGCAGACGTTAGAAAAAGCTAGGGTCTGTGGGGCTTTTCAGATGAAGGACCCATGGGGCCTGGCCACTGGGCCCGCAGGGGGAGCCAGCATGGTTTCTGCCAACAGTCGCAGGCTGAGGCAGAACTTCTGGGCTAGGCCACCAACGTGACCTTTCAGAGCCTTGTGCTAATAGATCACCTTGTCAAATCAGGAGCCAGTTGTCCCCGGGGGTTGCAGGTCTCCTCTTATTAACCAAGACAAATTAGATTCCCCATGGCCCCCACACCCGAGGACACACCCCCTTTTACTGTGAAATCTGTTGCTGGGTCCTGGCAATCTTGACTGACAAGTCTGTGATTCATGTGTCTCACCGCCCCCAGATGACCTGCTTACCCTGCACACATCCCGTTTTGTCTGACAACCTCCCTAAAAGCATCTTGTAGAATCTTCATTTGAAATTCAATTTAAACATTTTTGGAATAGTACACTTACACAGTTTGAAATTCGGAAGAGAAAAAGAGGGCCTACGTCCTCGTCCTCGTTGGAGGTGAGCAGCTGGCATTAGCAGTTTATGCTTCTACTGTGGTTGCACATCAATGTCTTATGCAAATGACAACGTGCTCTCTGCGCGTTTGTTTTGTTCTTTTGGCTGCCTTGGTCGTTTTGCTTACGGATACCTCTTGGCGCTCCTTCCTGTCAGGACTAACAAGGGTCCTGCTGTAGGGAAGCGTTCCAGATTAGGTGGGGTCCCATGGACTAAACTTTGGGTGGCTTCCCCTTGTTCGCTTTTACTGACCCCAAAGCTGAACAGATGCCGAGAGACCACCTCTGCTAAGAAAGTGGAGGCACGGGAGGGGGCCGTTCCCTGGGTGGAGTCACACTGTCGGGGGCCCAGAGCTCAGCTCATCAGCTGTTCATTCAGTGGATCGTCTCTTGACACGGGGCTCCTGCTGGAGAGATTCTCAAAGTCATACACGCGGGCAGCATGAGGTGCCTGAGGCTTTGAGTACAGGCAGGCATGTGGACGGTCACAAAGCCCTCACCTTGAATGAGGGGAATGCCAGATCCCCCCACCACTAAATCCCACACACATCCAGTTCTTCCCTCCATGCCCCGTTTCCAGCAAGCTGGCTGTATTTAACCTGGAGAAGGGGCCAGGAGGAGAGGGGCTCGGCTATCAGTCTGGGCTAAGAATGCAGTCGCACAGGGACAGTGACAGCAGGAGAAATTTGGAAACAAAATCCACGGCATCAGAACAAGTTTCAACTGTTCATGAGGTCACTTCATGGGGTATCAGTGTCCCATGTCCAATGCTGGAGAACCCGGCAAACAGAGGACCTGGGGCTGCCCAGCTGGCAGGGCATCTGAGCTAGATGCGGGTCTCCTCACCTGACTTATCAGTATAACACAGGGTAGGGTACAGGGTGAACAGCCTCTTCCTTATCTGGGAGCCATGGGCAGGTGACACCGACATCCCCCTGGGCAGAGCCTGGGGTCAGGGTGGGAGCTCCACCTGCCAGGAAGGTCATCTTCTACATGACCTTCTCTGCCTGTTGCCTGAAGGTTGTCCCCAGGGTCAGGGATGCAGGAGCCAGCCCAGTGCTTCCAGATGCTTCCAGACCCCTTCAGCCAGGGCACCTGGCCAAGTAGGGAGAAGAGCATGGCTACTATGAACCTAGCACGTTGTGGGTAACACATACTGTCTCATTTCCTCTCTGTCACCCACCCAAAGGAGGGAAGATTGCTCCCAATTTACAGACAAGGAAATGAAGCTGATAATCCTTCCACATCAAGGCCCGCTTGAGCACCAGCTCTGGCAGGTGCCGTGGTCCGGGCTCTCTTTCACCCTGAAACACACCCAAATTGGCTTCCTTTGACTTTAGCCTACTTCCCCTCTGAATGTCACACATCTGTTTTTAGTCACTAGAATTCCGAAGGCCCTTGGGGGTGGGGGGGAGGGAAACAGGGAATTACTCCTCTTTCAAACTTCAGGTAAAATTGGACTTAAGCTGTGATCATGAACTGGCCTGTGGATTTGGCAGCCCTGATGCACCACGAGGAGTTGTTACTCTGTCCCACAGGCACCTGCACTAGTTTGATGGCTTCAAATGTCTAGACACTTGGGATAAAAGGAGCATGTCATCTCCCCAGCACATCTTTGGGAGCCCCTGCTATGTGTTAGGCACTGGGTGT